ACAACTCTAGCCTGAGGCACTTGCAATCTAAATACATGCAATTATGCACATACCCACAGCTGAATTCTCTACGTTAGTGGAAGAATATTTAAAATCCTAAACTGCACACTTTGTACCTTTGTGTTTCCCAAATCCATGGGCTGATTAGCACCACAGAGATCCCCAGAACAGGCAAGGACAGCCTAAGGTCTGTGCTTTTCTTGCAGTGGCTGCCAACAGTCCCCAATGGCCATTACAGCAGCAGGGACCAAGTAGGCACAGGCATACATCAGGCACATGCCCCCTGCCACACACCTTCAGCTGGCATAAGAGCCATTTTGGGGGCTCTTCACCACCCAACAATTCTCCTAGGCTGGAGAAATAATCTAGCAGCCACTAGATTGACTTTATGGTTGCTCTGCAAAGGTTTCATATTATATAGTGTCCATGAAACATTATGACAGTAATCTGGAAAAATACAAATAACATTTAATTGAAAATCTTTTGCCATTTTAATTCCATATTTTCCCCACTGATTCTCTTAATTCCTATCAACTCCACCTCCACCAGCAATCCTAGTTTGGGTATTAGTGCCACATGCTGGAAATCATGATAATACAGTATCTTCAAAATGTTTCATAAGAGGCACACTCCAGTCTAGTTTTGCATGGTACAGCCAAGGCAAAACAGGATTTGCATGTATATTTCTAGTGCCAGTAGCAACATCGACATCACTAATGCCAGTTTCCAGTTTTGTCGAAGAAGACATTGCAGCAAAAAAGTATACGTTTTTTTTTCTCAATGACCAGAGGATGAGCTGAAATTATGAATGACTTTCCCCCATTAAAGAAACAGGAAAAAAAAATCACTGTTTGTCAAATGAAATGAAAGGAATTGCTTACCCTTAGGAGCTATTGTGTGCAACCATCTCCTGGTTCTCCTGTAATAGTGCTGTTTTTTGTATCTCCAGCTGTCTCCTATTGCTGGGTTTTAATATTTTCCCTGCATTTCAGTGTGACTGGTGTAGGAGGAGACCTAAGTGGAGGCTGTCAGTCACCAGCCCACCCTCAGTGTGTAGCAGGCTGGGAATTGTAGTCCACGCAAACACTTGACTAGCTACTTTTCTCATCCAATGCAGTGATTCTTAACCAGGGTCCCATGAGATTGTTTTAAGGCTGGCACGCTGTACTGTGTAATACTGGCACAAACACCTCCAGGAGAACAAGAGAAACCCAGGGATTTTGAACAGGAGTCCATAGTGTCAAAGACAGTCTGATCTGCTGTTGTTTTTCTGAGTTCTTTGCAACATAAGAATTGCTCTATTATTTTTCGGTAGTCAAAAAATGAGTGAAAGCTATGACCTGGTAATTTCCAAGGGGTGATTTGAATCTAATGAGGGGTGTCTTCTTGAGTCTAAAGAGGTTGCCCTAGTGTAAACTTGGGATAACTCTGAAATCAGTAAACTTACACATTTATATAACCATTTTATAGTAAGTGAAAGGAGAATCTGATTTAAATGACATATTATGTTTTTGTCCAAGTAAACTAAGACTTATTGATATAGAGAACAAGTGTGGAGCTTTACAAGTAATGATGATGAATCAAAGCCTGCTCTTGATTATCCAAGTGTAATCAAAATAACTCCACTGACTTCAGCAGGTTTACAAAGTCCGCAGTGCCTTGAGGTACTTACAATTTAAAATAAGACAGAAACTGAGGCTGATAGCCTGTGCTGATTGAAGGGCTACAGAGGAAACCAATAAAAAACTACAAACAAGGCCATCTTTTAGGGGCTCACTTTCCAGAAAAGTAAAAAGCTTGCCTGAATCTTGGCCTGCTTTCTTTTCTCTTTGGCTACTATTTTGTTATACATGTATTCATTAGGTACCATAGATTCATAGATTTTTAGGATCTGAAAGGGATCTCTCAAGATCATCGGGTCCAACCCCCTGCACTAGGCAGGAAAGACAACTGGGGTCAGGTGACCCCAGCAAGGTGACTGTCCAGTCTCCTCTTGAAGATTTCCAGGGAATGGCAACCGCACCACTTCTGGAGGGAGCTTATTCCACAGTCTGGACACCCTGACTGTGAAGGAGTTTTTCCTAGAGTTGAGCCTGAAGTGGTCTTCCAGGAGTTTGCAGCCATTACTCCTGGTTTTCCCCAGGGGTGCCCTGGTGAACAGTTGTTCGCCGAGCTGTTGATGAATATATTTCCCTGATGTAGCGGTAAGCTGCTACCACGTCCTCTCTCAGCCTTCTCTTTTTTTTAGGCTGAAGAGGCCCAAGTCCCTCAGCCTTTCCTCGTATGGTTTGCCTTGCAAGTCCCTGATCATATGGGTGGCCTTTCTCTGGATCCACTCAAGTTTTTCCACGTCCTTGTTGAAATGTGGCGCCCAGAACTAGACATAGTACTCCAGCTGCGGTCTCACCAATGCTGAATACAGTGGAAGAATCACTTCCTTGCTTTTACATGAGATGTCTCGGTAGATGCATACCAGGGTATTGTTTGCCCTGCTGACTACAGCATTGCATTAATGGCTCATGTCCATGCGATGGTTGATTATTACTCCTAGGTCCCTTTCAGTTGTAGATTCATAGATTCATAGATGTTCATAGGACCTCCCTTGGGAGCCCGTTCCAGACCTTGGCCACTCGAACTGTGAAGAAGTTCTTCCTAATGTCCAATCTAAATCTGCTCTCTGCTAGCTTGTGGCCATTATTTCTTGTAACCCCCGGGGGCGCCTTGGTGAATAAATACTCACCAATTCCCTTCTGTGCCCCCGTGATGAACTTATAGGCAGCCACGAGGTCGCCTCTCAACCTTCTCTTGCGGAGGCTGAAAAGGTCCAGTTTCTCTAGTCTCTCCTCGTAGGGCTTGGTCTGCAAGCCCTTAACCATGTGAGTGGCCCTTTTCTGGACTCTCTCCAGGTTATCCGCATCCCTCTTGAAGTGCAGTGCTGAGAATTGCACGCAGTACTCCAACTGCGGTCTGACCAGTTTCTGATAGAGGGGAAGTATCACCTCCTTGGATCTATTCGTCATCCATGTGCTGATGCACGATAAAGTGCCATTGGCTTTTCTGATGGCTTCGTTACACTGCCGACTCATGTTCATCTTGGAGTCCACTAGGACGCCAAGATCCCTTTCCACTTCAGTGCCACCTAGCAGGTCATTTCCTAGGCTGTAGGTGTGCTGGACATTTTTCCTCCCTAGGTGCAGTACTTTGCATTTCTCCTTGTTGAACTGCATTCTGTTGTTTTCTGCCCACTTGTCCAACCTGTCCAGGTCTGCTTGTAGTTGTTCCCTGCCCTCCAGCGTGTCCACTTCTCCCCATAGCTTTGTGTCATCTGCAAACTTGGACAGAGTACATTTCACTCCCTCGTCCAAGTCGCTGATGAAGACATTAAAGAGTATCGGTCCAAGGACTGAGCCCTGCGGGACCCCACTGCCCACACCCTTCCAGGTCGAAGCCGACCCATCCACCACAACTCTCTGGGTGCGACCCTCCAGCCAATTCGCCACCCACCGGACTGTGTAGTCATCCAAGTCACAGCCTCTTAACTTGTTCACCAGTATGTGAACCTCTTAACTTGTTCACCAGTATATATCGTGGTGCTAGTCAAATTGGTGCCACTGAGCATGTAGGTATGTTGGGGATTGCTGGACACCTTACACTTCTCAGTGTTGAGCTTCATCTAGTTCTGATTCGCCCACCTCTCCAGCCTGTCCAGGCCCGCCTGAATCTGCAGCCTATCTTCAGGTGCGACCCTGCTCCCCCACAACTTGGTGTCATCCGCGAACTTGAACCATCATTGGTAAATGAATCTTGAGAAGCTTTATGAGAGAACTGAGCTTGGCTGAACATTCATGTGAGCTGACAAAAGCAGCACTGTACCTGGAAACCAAATCCATCCCTCCGTATTTCACCTTCTTCTGCTACCCGAGCCTCACAGGCAGCCGTCAGCCACAGGACCCACTGACCGGAGTGGCTTTACACTGGATTGATAAAATCTGCGGTGCCTCGAGGCATTGACACTCCAGAATCAGACTGAAACTCAGGCTGGCCGTCTATGTAAACTGAGGGTCCGAGGACGACACCAATTAAAAAGTAGAAACAAAGCCATCCTTTAGGGGCTCACTTTCCAGAGCCAGAGAAAGGCACAAATCCTGACTCTTGGCCTGCTTGCTTTCCTTTTCGGTTGCGCGATGCATGGACACATTCCTTAGGTGCATCGCTGGCCGAACATCCACGTAAGCCAAGAGCATCGCTTGCACCCGGAAACCAAACCCAGCCTCTTGCGTGCCACCGGTTCAGGATGTGCTCCCGGGGCCTTGCAGCGGGAGGCGACGGCAGCCGAGGAACGTGCGCTCTGCGCCCTGTGCAACGCTCAGCAGGCTGCCACCAACCCCGCTGGCCCGTGGCACCGGGCTGCCCCTTCGGGCCCCTCCGCCTCCACAGGACGAGGGCCCCACGGGCAATGGTCGCCTTCTGAGGGAGCCTGGGGGGCATAGATGGGCTCCAGCAGGCCGGGGGAGCAGCCCTGGGCAGAAGGGGAAGCTGTGAGGACATGAGAGGAGCCGGGGGGAAGGAAGGAGGAAGAAGCAGAGCGAGGAGCAATGGTTGGCTGCTGAAGGGTCCATGCTGGGAGCTGAGGGGTTAAATGGAGGGCGCTGAAGGGTTAAAAAGTGCTGGCAGCAGAGCGGGGAGGAGCAGAAGCAGCCCCGCCCCCCCGCTCCGCAACCATACTTGCTGCTTTCCTGCCATTTTCTTTTTTGGCGCCGGATTGGCTCCCCCCCCGCCG